AGGCCTTGGCTAATATGCCTTCGGCTGGGACATTGGACATAAGGTTTAGAGCAATTTTGCGTCAGGCGGGACCTGGAAGGAACTTTTGGTGGACGTTGGTTGATTTCAGTGTCTGAGTTGACAGAAGGGTTAGTTGCGAACAGTGGCGTAGTTGAGAATGTTTCATGGGGGGGGGGGATCAAAATAAATTTGTATGGCAAACTTGTGGGGGCAATGCTTGTGAAATTCAGTATCACAATTTAGTCTGATATTTTTTATTACAATGATAATATCTTCAGCAAGGCTTACTGCTTCTCTTAAATAAATTTTTTCTTTTTGTAGCAACTTACACAATGGTAATCCAAAGAAAAAAACCAATTGGAAAAATATTTTATTATAAAATAAAATAAAATATATTTATTAATTACTATTTACTTGTATAACTTGTAAGGATACAAGAAATTCTGAATCAATAGTTTTTAATAGTATATTAGCTTATGTTGCAGTGAAATCATTCCAATAAGAAATATTTTCTGTACCTATGATTCAACTACGAATGCAAATAGTTAATTGAAATCTGTTACCACATCATAATGCTGCACCCATCGTGTAGCACACAATCTTTTTAAAATTTTAACCTTAGGATCCTCATTACTATTTTCAATATTGGTTAAAAGAATATTTTGACAATTTGGTGTATTAAAGAAAACATAAACTTTTACGGATAAATATTTATAACAGGATTTTTTTTTTTAGTTTCGTAATAATTTAAAAGTTTGTATTTGAGCTATTTATAGGTTTAAGACAATATATAAATACAGCTCATGGGGGGGGGATCTATCCCTCATATCCCCCTCGTAATTAAACCCCTGGTTGCGTATGATATCTTATCTGGTGTAGGTTTGGAGATGCATTGTTATTGGAGATGACTGCAGGTGGTACAGATGAGGCGGACGGCGAGGTCTGGTTTTCGCTGCCACTCCAGCTGTCTTCGGAGTAGGACGATAAAGGTGTAGCAGATGATTTGTTAGAGGAATTTTTTGGCAACAAATTGGTTCAGTTTTTATTTGGGATGAGAAGCGTAGGAGTACTAACGCGTTTTCGTCCTGCGTCCCCGCGGGGAATGGCGAATTTGTTGTCGGTTTGCTCACGTTCAGTGCTCAAATTGGAAAAAAAATTGAGGATGGACGCTGGTTTTAGTTCAAAAAAACACAGCACAAACAAAGCACAAAATTCACAGTGGTTTGTACTCTAATTATAGTTGGTCAAAAATTTTTACAATCGTACCATTTAGAATAAACTATTTATAATGTATGCATTTTGATACGGACCAGAAACAAATTCAAGGTAGATTACTCGTACGGCCTTAATATCTGTTCTATATATTAAATTCTATTAAAGTCTCAATATTAAATTGTTGTATAATAATAATAATATGTACTGCGTCCGTTATGTAGGGTTACTATACGACATACAGTATACGCGTTAGAGACTTCCTGTTCTATAAATTTCACTTCAATGTACATTTTATCGCTTGTGTGTTATCCGGAAAATATTAAATTGAAATATTTGACAATTATAACCGCATACATATAAACGTATATGTTTTAAATGTACATTGTTCTACCGTGTATCTTATAAACCTAAATTATTGATATTCGTAATACATAGTAAGCTTACGGTTTTTGACAGATATTTCATTACCGTATCACAAATTATGTCAAATTTTCAAATTAAAACGCATAGCATTTGTTTTTGACGAAACATTTTGTTTAAAATTTTTTTTTTATGAATATTTTTCCCTTGAGTTTAGATTTTTTATTTTCGGACTTGTAATAACGAAAATAATGTCGTTATAATAATAGTCTAGAAGTATCAGCGATATGCAATAATTGTAAGGCCTGAAGTATATGCTAAAAGCTGTCAACAAGTGTCCATCAGCATACGACAGCACGTATATATTATATATAAATTGTCGATTAGTATATTATGCGGGTACCGTGTACAAAAAATTGGGCGTATATCTACTTCGCCGAAAAGTTCTTTTTACCTGCGAGAAACCTATAGATTGTACAGAATATTTTTATACATAAATCGATTCCGCCGAAAATACATAACATCGCTATATACCAGTGGCGTACATAAGAGGGGTGCCTAGTGGGCTACAGCCTTCCCCCCCTCTCCGAAATGTTTCAAAACACTTAAATATTATTTTAAACGTTTGTTATATTTAAATGGTGCGTTATGCTTATTTAGAAATATTTTTATAAAAAAAAAATTTTGAACAGAAAAATCTACCAAAAATAAAATAATAAAAGGGTGAGATATAGGCGATGGGTGATTGATATTGTTGAAGTGGTCTTTTAAATTTAAAGACAATGTATCATTGCTTCTGTAAAAAAACGCTTTTGAGTGAAAGAGGTGTGTTTAATTAGCAACAAAAAGTTTATAGTTTTTCCTGTTTTTGTAGAACTTCTTTAAATTTCGAATATTCAAATGTTTATATAAAAATTTGTTCCTATATATTTTCGACATTTTTTCCTAAATACTTCCGAAATTTTTTCATTGGTGTAAAATAAACTTAAGAAGACATTTTTATTACACAAGTATTCTGTGAAAATTTAAAGACGTTACGTTTTTTACTTATTGAGTTATGACGAAATAAAAAGTTTGTCAAAAAGTGGTGTGTCGTCAATTTTTCCTCTTTTACCATTTTCGCTAATAATTCAAAAAATGTTAAAAAAATTATGGGAAATGCGTAAAATTAATTCTTAGAAGTACAACCTAGATACAATTTTTTATAAAAACGCGTGTTATTTTTGAAAATCAAACTATTTTCCAAGAAGTTGTCGTGTATATACACGATAGTAGTATGTATTTGTATGTTCTGGCTCCATTTTTTACAGGGAGATTCAAAATATTTGACCGACAGTCCCACGGTAAACTTTTTTTAGTTACCGTGCTCACGATTTTTTTTCAAAAACCTATATGTATGTTTTGGCTCCATTTTTTTTTTATAAATTAATTTTGGTAAAACAAAAAAATTAACCAACTTCTTTTTAAATACACAATTATTTTTGTTTCCCAAAATGTCAACACAATTTTTATTACAGTACAATACTTTTTACAATATTATTTATATAATTTACTAGCTGTTCCGACACGGCGTTGCCCGCGTATTAGTTGGTTATTTGCCCACATGTGCCGTTCTCAATATATTTTGTCGTAGACGTTCATCACGCTGTTCTCGAGACTCTTGTCTGCGAATTTCTGCTGTTCTGATTTGTTGAGCTGCGTTTCTTGCTGCAATTTGTTCTTCCGATTCATGAGCTCTATTAGCACGCATACGTCGTGCATTTTTACTATACTGATTGTGTAGGTTAGATTTCCGCGGCATTATACTAAATTTAAAAAAAATTAAAGAATATTCAATACTGAACACTGCACAATAATAACACAATACCAAGTATTTATGGTTAGTGTGTAGGTAAAGTAAAATACGAAAACACTAAACCGGTACAAATTAAACTGTATAAATAAAAATAACAAACAAAACTCGATACGGCGCGATTAACTTCAAGCCAAACCAAAATATGAGAATGAGGCAAACCTCGCTTTTGCCACTCAATAGAATACAGCCAGCAACGTGTGTTACCAAAAACTGAATATTTTACGATTAAATTAATTAAAGATTTTAACTTTTGTTTAAACACACGTGTAACGATATCGTGACGATGTATTGATTGTTGGCCTGGTAATAACAAACGAAATTTTTATATATATAGACTAGCTGTCCCGACACGGCGTTGCCCGCGTATTAGTTGGTTATTTGCCCACATGTGCCGTTCTCAATATATTTTGTCGTAGACGTTCATCACGCTGTTCTCGAGACTCTTGTCTGCGAATTTCTGCTGTTCTGATGTATTGATTGTTGGCCTGGTAATAACAAACTTTTTATTTCTTCCCAATTTGGATTACACGTAAATGTAACAAAAAAATCAGGTCGACCGTAATGACGTACATAAGTCATCGCATCTTGTATGTATTCCTGCATGCTCCGTGGACTGCCGATGTAGCTTGAAGGTAAAATACATGCAGTTCCGATGTCATTGGCGTTTAAATTTTCATCGATGTTTCCGGTGATAGAAATACACCGAAATACACCATTTATTAAAAAGTTAATTAAAATATTTAAAATATTAAAAAATTTGAAAAAAAACTATCCTATATTTTAAGTTGGACCAAATTACACACGGTGTAAAAAAATTCATCAAAATCGGTCCAGTAGTTTCGGAGATTATCGCGAACATACATCGTGACACGAAATTTTTATATATATAGATACAAGTTTCATAACTTCTCAACTAAGAGGTACATACTCTATAATACGATCATGAATTAAAAGACAATAAGCACTCACACCCTCTAGATTTTTTATGCTAACGTCAATAGTTGAAGATGTACCCGTATCATTCTGTTTAGAAGTATCTATCACGATAATCGGTGCTTTAGTCTCGAAATCATCTGGACTTAATATCGGTTTACCTTCTTCTTTTCCATAATACGATTCTTGAAAAGATGTATTCATATTGTATAATACTGCATAATTTTTTTTAGTAAAATCTAAATTTAAATTATCGTACGGATAAATAACAGAGATTTAAATAACTTTAATATTAGTTAATTTACAATGTTCGAAAATACTTGCATCTTTTACAATATAATTTTTAAATTCTTTTGTAAACCTATCACGACATATCGCGGTTTTTCTAATTTTGATGCTGTTTTTAAATTCCAAACTATATTTCTAGATTTTCCAAGTTCTGGATATTCATAGGTTTCATACGATCTAAATGGAATAAATAGACTGTCGTGACCCGATTACATGTTACAGGTTCTACTGAACGTAGATTTAATATGTTGTACGTTTGCGGGTTTGATACCCTTTAAATATATTATATTATATAACTGAGTTTATATGGAAAATGAAATAATTAGTAATACATATTTGTATTTTACAGTGGAGGAGAGGGCAAAACACTCGGGGGCCAACAGGAATCTTCCGGGATGTCAGTCAAGTCGCAGGATATCACGGACGAGTCGGAGAAGCAGCTCAATTGGATGCCGATCGCTTATGATCGGCAGAAGGTCGTCTGCTGGCATACTAGCCTGGACTAGTTGTCAGGATCCTTCCAGGGTAAATATTCTATTAACACGTATTAAATAAAATCACCGTAGCTGCTATATAATATTACTGCGATAAAAATATAATATGTTGTGAAGCTGCTGTGCTGAAATGGGTCGATATGACAGTCGATAATCGGCAAAGTGGAATTTGTTCTTGAGTGTTATAATACCACAATATTGCAGTGAAATATCAAAACGTTCTCATCGTATAAGTAAAAAAATGTGTTAAGTTATATTATACATTTTTGCGGTCCATCGGTAGAATTCAAAAGTGACCGTTATATAGAACGTGTCCCACTTTTAAAAGGTGTCCATTAATATTAGACGAATATTCTACTGTACCGCGTATTTTTAAAACGAGAAAGAGCGTATTAGTTTCAGGCGAAAAGTCATTGTTACTGATAACCAATACCTAACGATAGATCACCGGGGCCAATCCACCGGCATTAAATTCTTATGTTTTTAATGTTTCACTATTTGCTCCGTCAGGTTTAACTCGTGGAGATTCCTACTGGTACACGATGGTCGATTTGTAAGATTTTCAAATTATGATTTCGGTACATTTTTATTGAGACCATATTGAATTTCTTCGCATTTGCTTTGTCGTATCGCTCAAAAATATATTATTTATCCGTGACCACGAACACAAGGTACTTATCCGAAAGGCACTTGTATCTGAAAAATTGGGTGCAGGATATTTGGACGCAGTACAAATGTTCGTAATAACATTTAATATTTAATCAATTTAGCGGTACGCGAACAAAATATAAAGGAAGATCGGACATTTTTTGCGTATTCAATATTAATTATTCATACACATTAATGTTTATTGATTTATTGGCAAGATATTGTAATATATTATTGGAGATATTAGTAAATATTTAAATGTATGACGAAATAGGTAATGATCGATCTTCGATGTTATCAGATGATTTTAATCATATGTTTGTACTATCGATGTTTGACATGTAATAGTTTTAATTTATTTGTAACTGAACGGCTCTGAACGCTGATCCGATTCAATCGTTCTAGTTAGTGTCATTACAAAAAAAAAAAAAAAAATTATACGTTAAAACGTATACTGTATACTAGAATTGGCGGTATGTAAAATTTGTCCACCGGTATTCAGTATGTGTTTATATACCAGTTTTTAACGGTATACCGGTATGTCGGCATATATCAATAAATACTGTGTAGATGATAAATACCGCTCGTTTGGTTATTACCAGTCACTCGGTAATAATCGCTCGGTATATATCGCTTGCATAGTAATAACCGCTCGCTCGGCATATACTGCTTGCATAGTAAATACCGCTTGTTCGGTATATTCTGCTTGCTCTGTATATACCGCTCACTCGGTAAATGCTATTCAAACAATAAATAACTCTAATACCGCTTTTAAGCGACAAATTGATAGAATATAGTTGAGATTTGAGAGCATATATAATTTTAATTTAATTTATGCTCCTAAAAATAAAAGCCCCCATTATATGTCCAATTTTGTCTTCAGTCATTTATCTTATGATAAACAGATAATATAATTTAAGATGAGCTAGTGGAGTTTGGAGTCCCACTCTTATTATTTATAGTAGTTTTTTAATTCATTAGCACCAGGATCATATAAAATAAAATATATTGACTTTTAAAGAGTGCAACCCACAAAAAAGTATACATATCATTTTATGTGTTTCCCAGAAACATATTTAAGATAATAAGAATTAAAAGTAAAAAGTGTTATATAAATTATAAATAATAAAAACAGTCTAAACTCAAAATTTGTAATTTTATTATATTAATAGTTTGTCAACAACAAAAATTGCTTATATATTAGATTATGATTTGTATTACTTTCTACAAATAGTTAAATAAAAATTAAGAAAATTGTAATTTTATCGATTAAATGTACAGTACTACAGTTTATACGACTGATTAGTAATAACTAATACTTTATTTAAGTATACCTATCACCTATGGTCTCTACTTTGTAATCTGTATGTCTACCGGTCTACATGAATAGTTCATAATAAATACTATAAAAGTATAAAATATAATGCTGTTTAATAAACGTTTGATTCATTTTGCGCTATCGACTACCTATTCTTTAAATGTATTTTTCTTATATGCCATACGCCCTTGCGGAATGCTGCGTAAATAGCATAATAAATTGTCATATTATATATATTATATAACTTCTAGTAAAAACTATGATAGTTCAACAATTACAATATTAAAATTACATAATTAATGTATTTGATAATGTAAGACGAGGTATTATGTATAAATATAATATATAGATGGAGAAATAAAAGTAAAGTTAAATGTACACAGAACATAACAAAAATAAAACATAAATATAATGTTATATTAAATAATATATTTGCATAAAAACGTTTATCATAGTTAAAAAATATAGGTATTTTTTATAAGCAGAAGTAGGTCAAGGATATTTTAGTTCTCTAGAATAAATTAAGACTTCTTTGAAAATGTATATTATTTATATTAACTATCATAATGATATTTACATTTTTACACCTCAAATTTCAAAGATCATCATAATACATTTCTTAAAATGCTATAAAAATATGTACCATGTAACTAACAACATATTATTTAATATTAATCTTTAGTCAAATAAACAACAACAGAAATTGTATTTTATAATACTATAAATAACGCCGTAACCAATGTAACTTCAGTTCAGTTCGAATACGGACTTAGGGACTTAGGTTCCGGCTAACCATTGCCCAACTGTGCTATTATAAAGTGTGAGTGTTGTTGGTTAAATAATATCAAGTGACTATTAGTTATTTTCATTTGAGTATATTCATCTCCTATCTTTTAACTTGTTTATTCTTTGCCCTCTGTGAACTTTTGTCACATAGACTAAGTAAAGAAGTCAGGAGACTTATACTTTCAATATAAAAGGAAGAAATATATTTATTATAATATTTCAATAAATAAATGAATAAAAGGTTTATTAGGAATAATAAGTATTCTATGTGAATAGGTAAGGTAATATAATCTAACGACCCTATGCTCTTCTCTTTCCATAATAAAATATAGATTATAATAATTGTATTTGGCAAATCATAGCACTGCAGAATCTTGATCCTGCCTTTTATATTTGTTATTCATCTAAATCGTAAGATCCTGGTCTATTTATTTTATTATAAGGTAATGTGAAAGATTTTACCACTAAAGAGTTATATCTAACTAACCTTTAAAAATCTCTCAATTACACTTTAGATGTAATATTAATAACTATATTACTACTCAAGTATATTAGATATTTTTCCTTCCTACAGCATAAGTATCCTCGGTAGATATGTCTGTTTCTCTAACTCCACTAAGTTGAATTTTCTGGACTTTTTCAAAAAATTAAGGGCTCGGGGCTTATAGCATTTAAAATCATTAAAACAAGCGCTTAAAAAAGCGCTTTAAAACATCATTATAAATACTAAAATAAGAATTTAAAAAATTTAAAATTAAACAAAATAATTTATTCAAAAAAAAAAAAAAAAATTATAAAATTATAACTAAAAAATCAAACAAAATAAAAATAAATCTACACTTTCTAGACTTTAAGGATTTCATGGATTTTCTAAGGAATTTTTCTGAAAAATAAAATGTAAACTGTCCTCTCTGTTCTTGATCATTCTAACATTTAATACTTAGTTCTATTTTCAAAAATTGAATATCTTTGTAACCATACAACCTGTGGTGTACATTCAATCTTGCCCATGAGGGGGGGGGGATTAACAAAAATAATCGTAAACTTTTTTTTTTCGTTGCACAAATAAATAAGATAAATAACTGCTTTAAATAGATATTATTTTATACAACTTTTTTACCAATTTACAGTTTACTTTTACAATACAGTAAATTAGTAACTATTGGAATATAAAAACAGCATAGTAACAACAAAATTTTCAAACACCTATAAATATAATTATTTAATTATCATAATATTTGTATAGTTGTATATTTTAAGTTCAAAGCGTAATAATGAAACTACGAATATATTTACGAAATTCTTATATGGCAGAGCTAACATTTCTTCAGCCCCACTAAACTTAAAATTTAATTTCACAGTGTTAGGAAGTCAGCAAGAACGCGGGACCAAGTAGAACAAACGGCACAAACGATACACAATAGAATGAAAAAAAAAAATTTCGAAACTCTAATATGGCGGGGTTGGGGAAATGGACTTAATGGCAATACCTATTTTCGATAGCGAAAATTTATGAACATACTGAAAAAAATAATTTTAACGTTTACAGAATTTAATTTCAGTAATCCGTTTGCGACTTATTACCGTTTAAATATTCATTCAATTTATTGTTACTGGGTACTTTATCAAATCCTACAGTAAAAACCAGAAGTCAAAACGGAATGATATCACAATTTAACAACACCCATAACGATCATAAGCAATAATAAGTCTTAAGTACCTAACAAGATAGATAAACAATACTATTAGAAAAAAAAATGTTCTATCAACACTCCCATCAGAACACCTTGTGTCAGTGAGCGACTAGTCTGCAGCAGCACGGCTGTATCAGTTACTGATACCTAGTACACGGTTTTAACACGTATTATCACGTATTATTCTTACTTCTAAATAAATAATAATAAAACATAATAATTAATAAATAACAGTAATTTTATGCTAAAGTCATAAAAAAAATGAGTCATTGTTTGCCAAAATTACAGAAGTATATACCTAATAAATACTAAACATATCTAATAAAATAGTATAAAACGTATTATTAAACTGAATAAAACCATACTCAAAGGAAATAGAATATTATCAGTCAAAATTATATGAGCCCAAAAATAATGAACTGGAGCATACATTTGATCATAACATGGAAACCAGACAATAATTGTTTGAGTATTAGCTGAGTCAAGGAAGACCTTAAGCTCAAATATATATGTATATGTGTTTACTTACTCGATATTATTCTCAAAGATATATTAGGATTTTCTTCTAATGTTTGTAAAATAATT